AGTCTAGGTGAACTTAGGAGCTAGAATTACTCAAAATATATATCCGAAATTCTGGACAGAAAAGTCGTCTTCACAAGAAACGACGTCGACAAAACCTAGCCGTTGGAATGTCGCGAAACTTGGATATGTTGTAGCTCTTAATCTCAGCTACCGTTCCCAATTTGAATCACGTTGATTGATGAAGTATTCGCGACGCTATGGCTTTCGACGCACTAGGGGGTAAGCTGTAGGAGGAGAACTTAACTCAATCTCAAGAGTTCAATAAAAGTTCAAGAATCTCACAAGGAATTTAGAGGAGCAAGAGAAAGGTTGGGATAGGAAGAGAGGGATGAGAGGGAAGGTCCCAAGAGAGTCCCCCAACCAAGGAAACCCCATAAGCACAAAGATTCCCTCCCTATAGGAACCCCAACTTTGACATTTGTCCCTTCCCAACCAATCCATCCAAGTTGGCCACCCTTGCCAACCTAGCTTGGTTGTTCCCAACCAATTTGCAGCTGTTACAGTAGAGTGACAAGTTTCCCCAACCCCAAAGGTCCCAACTCCATATAAAGTCACCCCACAACTTCACTTAGTAACCGCCGCAATTGTAACGCAAGCTCATGAACTTTGAATCTTCATAGCTTTCGCGTTCTTGCTCCGATTGAAGCGATTCTTGTTGCGTCGGAAAGATCTTCTCAAGATCTATCATCACAAATACCTGCTCAGACAGAATAACACAAAACACATTCCCAAACTCCAGAACACACCACACACAAATTGCTTGCACATTCAAACCACACATGCAAGTTGAAAAAACATGGGATGGGAGGCAGACAGAATGTGATAGCATATGATGACATCACACAACAATCTCCCCCTCTGGCTGCCAACCATCATCCACCATACCAACATCTCAAGCATGCATACTCAATGCACACTCATCCCAGCAAGCTTCATGCCCTTCCAATGATCCGCCTCCGCCAGACGCTTGGTGAAAATATCTGCTGCCTGCTGATGGGTCTTCACTATCTCCAGCCGCACCTCCTTATCAAGGAGTCTCCTCACCCAATGCCACTTAGGCCTTATGTGTTTTGTCAGCCCATGCAGACAAGCATTCTTGGCGAGCTTCACAGCGGACTCATTGTCACAAAACACAACTGTCGGCTTCTCCTGACCAACTCCCAACTCCTCCAACAAACGCCTTAGCCACACTACTTCCTTGGCCCCATGGTGTAAGGCCATGTACTCAGTCTCACATGAGGACAATCCCACCTCATTCTGCTTCTTGCTGCGCCAGCTCACAGCACCACCTCCTAGCAAGCACACATAACCCCCAATGCTGGTGCCATCCGCTTTCACTGAGTTGAAGCTAGCGTCAGTATAGCAACTCAAGAGCATCTCTCCACTCTTCCCATCTGCAGCACCTCTCTGCAACCGCTGCCTCACTCCACTGTACTCCAATCCCACTGATGCCGGTAGCGCTCACATAGCGGACCAACCTCTTGGCCGCTTCCAGCTGCTCATGACTAGGGCGTGAGACCACACTAGCCAATCGTGATGTAGCAAATGCAATGTCAGGCCGTGTATGATTTGCAGCATAATTCAGCGACCCAACCATCGAATGAAACAGCTTCCTGTCACTATCACCCAAGTCACACAGTCCCATGTCTCGTTCTCAATTAGGGACCCGAACTCCTCATCCTCACTCGCCTTCCACTTCTCCCCATTTGGTCCATTCAAGGCCTCTTCTCGAGTCTTGGGCTCAGGGATTGGTGCCCAGTAGCAGTGAGCGATCTCATCTTCCTCAATCTGCTCAACCCCACTCCCAGCCTGCACCACATTCGCTTGCCTCTTCCCCCATAGGTCAGCCTCACTGGAGGGCGCACATCCCTCCTAGGACGCTCAGGCGGGTGTGGAACTCGAGGTGGAGATTCATGCTGCTGCTGCTGCTCCACCTCAGCTGCTCCCCCTTCCTCAGTCACCCCAGACATCTCCTCCTCTGACACTGCAACCTCCACCTGTCTTGAAGGCTGCTGCAACTCATCTGCCTCCACAATGAGTGGTGTAGATGGAAGCTTCTGTTGCTGCTGCTTCCATTCCTTATAGTACAGGGACTCAAGAAACTTCACATCCCTTGACACTGTCAGACTTCTGGATGGTCAAGTCCATAGAAGCCATCCCTTGTGATCCTTTGCAATCCCCAAGTGCACACCCCATCTTCCAGAAGCCTCCAACTTCCCTCTTTTCTCCTTAGGCACATGAAACACTACCATGCACCCAAATGCCCTCAGCATATTCACAGCTGGAGCACTCCCATACCACTTGGTATATGGGATCCACTCCTTATCCCCAACTGTAGCCAGCACTCTATTCTTCACAAGGGCGACCTGCCTCAGTGCAGACACCCAAAACGGATCAGGTAGCCCTGCACGCCCAAGGAGAGTGCGTGCCCCCTCCTGCAGGGTCCTGTTGAACCTCTCAGCCACGCCATTCTGCTGCGGGTTGTAGGGCACTGTCAGTTGATGCTGGATCCCCTTCCTCTTCAACTCCCCCTCAAAATCAGCTCCAATGAACTCCCCACCATTGTCACTGCGGATCACCTTCACCTTGTGTCCGCATTCCCTCTGAGCTCTAGGCATCCACTCCTTAAGGACAGCCGCTGCCACCTCCCCCTTGCTCTTCAAAGGGTAAACCCACACTGCCCGAGTGTGGTCATCCACAATTGTCAAGAAATAGCGGCTGCCTGAGAGGGAAGGGGCTCTTGTGGGCCCCACCACATCCATGTGCACAAGTGCAAGTGGGGTCTTGGCTGGTCCTGTTGCACTGTTGAAGGGGAACTTGGAGAACTTGGTCTCCAAGCATGTAGGGCAGCTCCCAATCTCCTTCACTCCCCTTTCACCTCCAAGCCCTTCAGGCTCCCATTCTTCACCAACTTCTGCAGCATAGGGAAGTTCACATGACACAACCTCTCATGCCATGTCTCCCCAATCGGGCCTCTCCACTCCTTGATGAAGCCTTAGCCCATGCCGCACTCGCATCCACACCAGCAAGCACCTCACCATGTGTCTGCTGCTTCTGCACTTTCTTGACTGCTTCCAGACCCCATCAGTTGGTGCAGTTGCATCTCCTCCTGCTGTTGCCTTTGCCACTGCTGCCGTTGCTGCTGTTGGAGTCTTCCCATTCCATGGGATGATGGGCAGCTGCCACAGGTCCTTGATGCAGCTGGTCTCCTCTTCCAGACTCCACAGCACCTTCTTCCCAAGCTTAGCACGGCAGCTGGTTGGTCCAAAGGTCACTTCGGCCTTGCTCTTCTGCAGTCGTCGCACAGAGAGAAGGTTAGCAGACAAGCCTTCAACCAGCAGAACATTCCCAAGCCCCACAAGCTCCCCATTAGCTCCCTTAACCTTGGCATTTCCAACACCAATGACAGGGAGCAAAGCACCTGACGCTGCTGCCACATACTTGATCTTCCCAGGGGGTTTTACCTCATCAAGCAAATCTGCCCGTGGGGTCATGTGACTGGTGCAACCTGAATCAATCACCCAGTGCGTGAGAGGGTGCATCACAACCTTTCCCACAGATCCCACATCACCCTCATGCCCATGCACATCCTCAACCATGAGATACATCCCAGGATAGGCGTTACCTTGTGCACCTTCACCTTGTGCACCTGAGCCTTGCACAGCGCCACCTTGTGCGCGTTCACCACTTGGCGGCTTCATGCCTGGAGGTGACCATCCCTCCAGCCTGCTGAAGCACTTGAACCAAGGATGCCCAACCTTCTTGCAGTACCAGCACGTGCCCTCCATTCTGTACTCCCCTGCCACTAGAGCTCCCATGCCCCTCATTATAGTCACCTCGGCCTCTACCTCTGCCAAAGCTCCTCCCACGGCCTCGGCCTTTCCAACCCCCTCTTCCTCTGCCGCGCCCTGCAGCTCCATACCCCTCAGCAGTCTTAGTGGCAGCACCGCCTCCCACATGGCGTCTGCGGAAGTCCTCCTGCAGAATCTGCTGCCTTAGCCACTCAGGTGTCCATTGATCTTGCTGAGAGTTGAGGGTGGGGATGAGGTTGTCCCAAGAGTTGTCCAACACCGAGATGATCTTGGTGCACTGCTGCAGCTGAGATACACTGCTGCCCCGCTGCTGCCATCCTTGCATAGGTGTCCTTGATCTTGTCAAGGACCGGCTTCACATCGTCCCCTGGTCGCATGGAGATGCAGCAAGTTCCTTCTCGAGCACGATCACCATCGGGAGAGTGTTGGGCTGAATCACATCGCGTAGTAGTTTCCACGCCCTTGGACCCGAATCATCCGCTTCCACAAGATCCTTGATGTGCTCGAACATCTCCTTGTTGACCGATTGAAGGATGAGGTCGAAAAGCACCGCGCTTTTCTCAATCCACCGTTCGCGTGCTTCGCCTTCTTCCGGCATCTTCTCTTCCCCAACAGCAATCTTCAGTAGCTTGTAGCGTTTGAAGGCACTCCTCATCCGTCCGCTCCATTCCTCATAGTTGGAGCCAATCCCAAAGCTTCAACTTTTGATGGCGGCGGCTCACTTGTCTTCTCAGCTACAGCTCCTCTTCCATTAGCATCTCCTCCTCTCTCATTCATCTTCTCCTTGAGAAATGACGAATTTCAGCCCCCCTTTGCTGTCCACACTCAGCTCCCTCGATATTTCACAAGTGTCGGCGTCCACGAAATTTCGGCAGAGTTTCCCTTAGCGGAAGACACATCCAACCTTTAGAACACCACTTAGGCACACCCACAGGCCATGGTGGGTCTAGAAGGGTCTTCACACTTCTGTAGACTCCTCTCAACGTCCTTAATACAGCTCTGATACCACTTGTTAGAATTAAGGACGGAGTCTAGGTGAACTTAAGGAGCTAGAATTACTCAAAATATATATCCGAAATTCTGGACAGAAAAGTCGTCTTCACAAGAAACGACGTCGACAAAAACCTAGCCGTTGGAATGTCGCGAAACTTGGATATGTTGTAGCTCTTAATCTCAGCTACCGTTCCCAATTTGAATCACGTTGATTGATGAAGTATTCGCGACGCTATGGCTTTCGACGCACTAGGGGGTAAGCTGTAGGAGGAGAACTTAACTCCAATCTCAAGAGTTCAATAAAAGTTCAAGAATCTCACAAGGAATTTAGAGGAGCAAGAGAAAGGTTGGGATAGGAAGAGAGGGATGAGAGGGAAGGTCCCAAGAGAGTCCCCAACCAAGGAAACCCCATAAGCACAAAGATTCCCTCCCTATAGGAACCCCAACTTTGACATTTGTCCCTTCCCAACCAATCCATCCAAGTTGGCCACCCTTGCCAACCTAGCTTGGTTGTTCCCAACCAATTTGCAGCTGTTACAGTAGAGTGACAAGTTCCCCAACCCCAAAGGTCCCAACTCCATATAAAGTCACCCCACAACTTCACTTAGTAACCGCCGCAATTGTAACGCAAGCTCATGAACTTTGAATCTTCATAGCTTTCGCGTTCTTGCTCCGATTGAAGCGATTCTTGTTGCGTCGGAAAGATCTTCTCAAGATCTATCATCACAAATACCTGCTCAGACAGAATAACACAAAACACATTCCCAAACTCCAGAACACACCACACACAAATGCTTGCACATTCAAACCACACATGCAAGTTGAAAAAACATGGGATGGGAGGCAGACAGAATGTGATAGCATATGATGACATCACACAACATGACCTCGCTGCCCACCTGCGCTCGATAGAGGAGACCTGGCGCGCCGCCTGCACTGACGCACAGCTTAGAGCCCACCAGCCGCCTATTACCTCTACCCTCTACCTGCTTGCCACCCGCCTCCCTGACCGCCTTGCTGTCGCCCGCGAACGCTTCCTTAGTGTTCACCCTGCAGACCTCACCCTCACTGACTTTGTCGACACCCTGACTGTGATAGAGACCCGTCACCGCTCCATCGCCCAGGCGAGCGGTGTAGTGCCGGTCCCTATCTTTCAGGGTTGTGCCCCCGCTCAGTGTACCTTCTCCGACGGCTCTGCCGCAGTGGTTGAGACTGCTGCTGCAGCGCAGGCCCGTTCTGGGAAGGGTCGCAGCCTTCGCAGCAGCCGCAACAGCCGTCGCAGACGAGGCAGACGAGCGTTCTCCCGCCAGGGTGGCCCGGCGCTGGCAGTGGACGGGCGCGCGGTGGTGTGCCGCGTGGTGGCTCTGCCGGCGGGCGTTGTCAGTACCAGATCCAGACCGGTCCTCGCCGCGGCTTCGTTTGCGGTAAGATCGGTCACTCCACTCCCCGCTGCTTTCGTCGCCTGGACGACCTTTTTCGTCAGCGTTTCGGCCCGTCGCCAGACCTCCCGGACTGGCACAGTTTGCTTAGTCGTCATATTCATATCTTTGATATGGACATGGATGCCATTGTTTCTGCTCTGCATGTGATGTATGCTGATGACTCTAGTGTGCTTCTGACTTATTACTCACTGTTGCCTAGTGTAGGTGTGCCTCGCTTAGCCTCCCCTGCTGCGTCAGGCGTAGGATCCCCAGCTTTGTGTAGTCTTGGTGCTTCTGCCGTCGTTCCGTCGCCAGACCCCTCGGCTTCGCTTTCCTTCACCTTGGACTCTGGCGCCTCTCGGTGTTTCTTCCGCGACTCCACCACCCTGACGCCGCTTCCTGTTCCTGCTGCCGTTTCTCTTGCTGACCCCTCCGGCGGTCCGGTAGTCGCCCGCAGTTCCACCACCCTTCCCTGTCCGGCGGTTCCTTCAGGCTCTCTTACAGGTCTGCATATCCCCTCGTTCTCCAGGAACCTAGTTGGTGTCGGCTGCCTCCAGGACCTTGGCGTCACCACTACGTTCCCTGGTCACGAGCGGTATGCTGTCTGTACCGAGGCCGCCACCGGTGCCCCCCTGTCCACGTTCCCCCGGGACCCGGTGTCTGGCCTTTTCACTCTGGACACCGTGACCCCCCCGGCTGGGGCGCTCCCTCAGGTGGCTGCGTCTACTCAGGTTGCTGCTGCCTGCTCCTGTCGCTCCCTCACTCACCCGACCCTTCTGTGGCACCACCGCCTAGGTCACCCTGCGCTCCCGCGTCTGCGTCACATGTCCCAGCACGGTCTTGTCCTTGGTCTCCCAGGTTCACTCCCCGCGTTTCCCTCCTCCCCAGCTCCACCTTGCACGCCTTGTGTCGAGGGTCGGCTTCGCCGTGCCCCTCACTCCTCCTCGTTCCCCCCTACCGCCGCGCCGCTGCAGACCCTGCACCTGGACGTCTGGGGCCCCGCCCCCGTCCCTGGGCCGCGTCGCGAGCGCTACTTCCTTGTGCTTGTCGACGACTTCACTCGTTACACCACAGTCTTTCCCCTGGAGCGCAAGGCCGACGTGTCTGGCGCCCTCATCCCCTGGCTTGTCTCTGCGCGTGTCCACCGCGGTCTCCCTGTCTTGCGTCTTCACTCAGACCGTGGTGGCGAGTTTGCCTCAGGTGTCCTTGGTCGCTTTTGTCGTGCGGAGGGCATCACCCAGACGTTCACCCTACCGGACTCCCCACAGCAGAATGGGGTCGCTGAGCGACGCATCGGTTTGGTCATGGAGGTCGCTCGCACCTCCATGGTCCATGCCGGTGCACCCCATTTTCTGTGGCCGTTCGCTGTGCGCTACGCTTCTCACCAGCTTAACCTGTGGCCGCACCCTCAGCAGCCGCAGGTTTCGCCGACCCGTCTTTGGACTGGGTCTCCTGGTGACGCGTCTGCGTTCCACGTCTGGGGCTGCCTTGCTCACATCCGTGCCTCCGGCACGGACAAGCTCACTGCCCGCACCCTTCCCTGCGTCTTCCTCGGTTTTCCCCTTGACGCGTCCGACTGGCACTTTTACCACCCGCCGTCTCACCGCTTCTTTCACTCTCGTGACGTCACCTTTGACGAGTCCGTCTCCTACTACCGCCGCTTCCCCCACCGTGGTCCCCCGGTTACCCCCCCCCTGTTCCTGGTCACCCCTTCCCCGGTAGTCCCTGCCCCTCCTCCTCCTCCTCCCCGTCCCGCCCCCTCTGGTGTCTCCCACGTCACCCCGCTTTCGTCCGTGGACCCGGTTGAGGAGTCTTCTGACTCTGGTGGCCCTCCAGTGCAGTCCTCGCCGGCCGCCCCTCCCCAGGTGTCCCCCCCCCGGTCCCCTCCTCCGCCGCCCCTGCCGCCGCTGCAGCCGTCGCCGTCGCCGCCGCCGCTGCCGCCGCCGCCGTCGCAGCCCCCGTTCGCTGACTCTGGGGGTGCTCGTCCCGGTGGGGAGAGTGCCGGTGGTAGCCGAGGAGCAGCTTGCGGTCCAGGTGTCGCCGTTGTGCCGCCGCAGCAGCAGTCCCCGCCGGTGTCCGCCCTTCGCCTGCTCGGCCTTCCGTCCCCCGACCCTGCGTCGGTTCCTCCCCGACCGTCTCCTCCTCTTCCTGTCTACGGCCCTGTTTTCCCTCCGCCGGACTCGTCCCCGGCCCGTCTCCCCCCTCGTTCCCCTCCTGTGTCCCCTCCCCTGTCTCCTGACCCGACTCCTCCGTCCCACGTCTGGTCTCACCGTCCCTCCCGTGCTCGTCCTGCCTCGCCTGTCTTGCGCTCCCACCCTATGTTGCTTCGTTCAAACGCGTCTCGTCCTCCCCTTTTGCCGTCGCCTCCTCCGTCCTCCCTTGTTGTTGCGCCCCCCCCTTTGTCCGACTACCTTCGTGCCGCTCGTCCTCTCGTTCCTCGGGTCCTTGCCTCTCTCGTTACCGACCCGTCTGTTCCAGTCTCGTGCCTTGACGCTCTTGTCGCTGCTGTCGCTGACTTCGCCTCTACCCGCCGCCTTGACTACGCCACCGCTCTGGTCTCTGACCCTGCCTGTCCTCCGTCTGTCGGGGGTGCTCCTGCCCTTGGCAGTGACGTCCTGGAGGACCGCCAGTTCGAGCTTGCTTTCCTCTCCGAGGCTGCTCCCCATCTCTGTTCCAGGCTACTAGTCCCTGAGGGTGACCCAGACGCTTTCGACATCCCGACCCCTCGCACTTACGCTGAGGCGACTTCGGGACCCTGGGCCTCGCAGTGGATAGCTGCCATGGAGCAGGAGATGGCATCTTGGAGATCCACCGGCACCTTCGTCGACGCAGTTCCCCCGCCTGGGGTGAACGTAGTCGATGGCCGCTGGCTCTTCAAGGTGAAGCGCCCTCCTGGAGAGCCGCCTGTCTTCAAGGCGCGCTATGTGGCTAGAGGCTTCAGTCAGCGCGAGGGGGTGGACTTCTTCCAGACTTTCGCTCCGACCCCGAAGATGACTACTCTTCGGGTTCTGTTACACCTAGCTGCTCAGCGTGACTACGAGCTTCACTCACTTGACTTCTCCACTGCCTTCCTTCAGGGCAGTCTACACGAGCAGGTCTACCTGCGCCGTCCTCCGGGCTTTACTGGCACCTTCCCTCCTGGGACCCAGTGGCTCCTGCGGCGCCCCGTCTACGGCCTGCGCCAGGCTCCCCGTGAGTGGCACGACACTCTGCGTGCTACGCTTGCTGACCTGCAGTTCTTTCCGTCTTCTGCAGACCCTTCACTCTTCGTTCGTGCTGGCCAGACTCCGTTCTACATCCTCGTTTACGTCGACAACCTGGTCTTTGCCACAGCAGACAGGGACGCGCTGGCCTCCGTGAAGGCAGAGCTGCTGAGAGACACACCTGCACTGACCTTGGAGAACTGCGCCGTTACCTTGGCTTGCAGATCTCCAGGGACAGAGCTGCGTGCACCATCACCCTGACTCAGTCACACTTGGTGCGCCAGGTCCTTCAGAGGTTCAGCCTTCAGTTCTCCTCTGCACAGCCCACCCCTCTGCCTGTAGACCACAGGCTCTCCGCTCCAGTGCCTGAGGAGTTGGTAGAGCCCAGCGGCCCCTACGCAGAGCTGGTGGGTTGCCTCATGTACCTGATGACTTGCACTCGCCCAGATCTCGCATACCCTCTCAGCATCCTGGCTCGCTTTGTGGCCACAGGCAGACACCGACCGCAGCACTGGTCTGCCGCTAAGAGGGTTCTGCGTTATCTTGCTAGTACATCGGGCATGGGGTTAGTGCTAGGAGGACGCAGGCCAGCGGTCCTTACTGGGCACACAGACGCTTCGTGGGCAGACGACGCTGAGACTCTCCGGTCTACCCAGGGCTAATGCTTCAGCCTTGGCTCAGGTGCCGTCTCGTGGAGAGCTACTTGCTCTTCGTCTGTTGCACAGTCCAGCTGTGAGGCTGAGATCTACGCCGGTGCCATGGCGGCACAGGAGCTCCGCTGGCTGACCTTCTTGCTCACTGACTTAGGTGAGCGGCCTAGCTCTGCCCCGGTCCTGTTCGCTGACAACAGGGCCATGATCCTCCTGTGTCAGGAGCCTCGACTCGAGGGCAGAGCAAAGCACATTCAGCTGCGGTACTTCCTCCTGCGTGAGCTACAGCAGCGACGTCAGGCTCGCGTAGTACACTTGGCCTCAGGTGCCAACACGGCTGATATCTTTACGAAGGCACTTGCGCCTAAAGATCATCAGCGGCACTGTGTACAGCTTGGTCTAGTTCCTGTAGCCTCTCACTTGCTAGGACCTTGACTTTGTACTGTCCTTTATATGTATACTCAGACTGGACTTGTGTCCTCTCCCAGTGGCTGGACTAGTAGTACCGCCCTGCTCTTGTGCTTGCCTTGTCTGTACTCCTTCTGACTGGTCGCTCAGACCCTTGTCTCAGAGGTTGGACTAGTAGTGCCGCCCTGAGCTGTTTGTTTAGGACTTTCCCCTATGCAGTCTAGGGGGTGTGTCAAACATATCTATGTGTTATGTTTGTATAGACTGTATAGGGTAGCCTCTTAGAGGGTACAACACTTAGCTATATTGTGTGTACTCTCTCTGTATCACCAACACTTCAGTTTCTGATAACTTCAACTCAGTTACTGCCCGACGACAGAAATGGCCGCAGATTATCTGACGAAGAAATTGGCGAAGGCAAAATTTGATTACTGCATGCTCCTGACCAGACAAACAAACATCACCGGATCTGAACATGCGAGCACTCCATAAACGAAGGGGGGTGTTGGAAATATCTCAAATGACTTAAGCGTTTCTGAAGTGTAACAGTACACTCGAGGAAGATTACAGGGGGGGTACGCGAGTCAACGGAGGTTACACGAGGGGGCAGACAAAGAACGCGAAGGAACTCGAAAGGTCACAACTGGAGGTTGCGACTGACAGTTACAACATCGCAGATGGTAACCGAAGCGGCAATCGAGTCGCCTGTGCGACTCGATAACCGCTCCTGCAACTGTATTCTACAACTGCTTTCTTATTTCCTGTATATTGCTGTATGTTTGCTTCTTTAACCAATCACTTGTTCTCATATACTAGTACAAGGGTTCAACTGCCTCAACTTCCGCTGCACTACTCAAAGTCTCATTTTACAACTGGGACTTAGTCTCTGGAAAGATCCTAAGGGCTTTTATCAGCCCAACACACTTCATAGGGGTACCCCGTGTCCAAATGTACATTCGGACTTGGGTAACTGCTTACTAATCGGGCCCGTTATGTAATACAGGGTCAGTCCTGTGCCCTTGCGCCTTGCTTTCTAGCGTCTTCGCACATTACCTGTTATTTCCTTCTCTACATAGCCTTTCTAAATCCTTTAAATGCGTTTTTCTTCATAGATAGTGCACACTTTGTTTTAACGGGCTCGTAACAGTGTGTGATGTTCATGAGTGGCTGGAGGTGAGGTTTTTGTCAGGACCAGCTAGGGGCTGACTAAAGACGTGGTGCGTAGGCCGACTCGAGGCCCACAAGGGTTCGTGATACACCTGGCCCGCCTTAATTTCACACTTATACAGTAGCTCACTGTTTCGTCAAAGGGTTGATGCCCTGCGAAAACATGACCGATGAGACGAGTTTCGCAACCCCTAAAAAAACAGCAAGCTTAGGGTTTCTAGATGACCCATGTTTACAGCGTATCGCCTCCCGTCTCTTTGTATTTTTCGCAGGACTCACCAGTCGAATTCTTGGACCCGTATCTTCCGTGGGGGGAAGCGAGGCACTTGCTCGCAGCCTACCCTAAACAGGGGAATGCTCCTTGCGGACCCAGAAAAGGTCAGGGTAGAGTCAAAACATTTACTGCCGCTCATTTTCAGGCTCTGAAATTACAGCGGGGCAGGTGTAATGAAGTGGTCACGTTACAATTTTGAAATGTCCGGGGGGCTGGAGGAATAGTAGGGGCTGGCGCAACGCAATATGGGTGCGATACAGTAGGTTGCACTTCCTACCCCCACAAGTTGAATATATAGAGTTTTTACTCGATTCCGTTTCTCGACGAGAGGACGAAACCCTAAGTGGAGAGTGTGCTTTTTGAAAACGCAGAACTCACTTTGGTCAAATACACTTGTTACCCTACCATTCTGGACACGGACTCGAACCAAACGACGAGCCATCCAGACTGGCCTCTGTTTCAGCACAATGCCCCTCAACTCAACCACTTACAGTTTACAGTTGTCCTCGCCCTACTGACAGTGACCCCATCTTCCCCCCTACCGTTGCCCTCCACATACTTCTTCCATCACCCTGTCTTGCCTCCCAAACTTCCTGCTGGTGGTAAATCAGCCTCCTGAGCAAATGCATGCATAGACTGCATTGCACTTCTTGGAATGGCGTGTCAGTAAAGGAAATGTTCGCCACTCGATGCGAGTTAGCGTCCAGCGGGAGCTTGGTTGGCGTTCTAAGATGATCGAAATTGGCTATCGTCGGAGTGCACAAGCGCCTGACAGAAGGGTGTTAGAATTCAGGCCGATGCGTTCATGAGAACGCCTATTGCGTCCGCGATCATATATCTATGTAGCGATTATCTCCAATTTTGCTTTAGCCGCCCAATTTCTGTCGGTATTGTAGCTTTTTCAGGATACCCGCGCTACCCGCGCTGAAAACAGCGTTCTTGCCGCCGCACGCGTGCCGCTTGGCAGCCTCCTGACATCCGCCTGACAGAAGCCTGACGAAGGCCTGACGGAGGCCTGACGGAGGCCTGACCTGCCTGACCCAGGTTTGACCGAGGTGGCACCGGAGGCGAACCATGGCTGACGGCGTCGCTGCTGCTGGTGAGTCCGATGATGGAGCGAGAGTGAGTCTGAGGAACGAGTCTGATATCGAGTCCACGCGTCCACTCCGAGTCCACGCGTCCATTCCGAGTCCACGCGTCCACTCCCAGTCCACGCATCCACTCCGAGTCCACGCGTCCACTCCCAGTCCACGCATCCACTCCGAGTCCACGCGTCCACTCCCAGTCCACGCGTCCACAGGTCATGGTACGAAGCGGTCTCTCCGGCTACTGTGGTCGTCAGCTCTCTTTGGTGGTGCTCAAACGGTCATAGGCGCAAGTCTATCTACGTCGCTTGATAACGCCTCGCTGCTCGAGGCAAAACGAGGGTTACCCAGAGGTCGCAGCGGAGCGGTTTTACATTCTAGGCAAGTCCGCAGACGTTACACACTAGCACGATTGGGTGCGAAGGCATCACATTGTAAAGAATCGCACGCTGGTGGACCAGGTATTCGCCCACAGCACTGTAGCTCCTCGTGCACGCAGGTGTTGGGACTGAGTCCGTCGGGACTGAGTGTACCGACAGTTTACACGGGGGCACGTGGGTGTGAGGCGGCGCCACGCTTCCTTTTGCATTAGTCTGCCACTCAGCTTTGCGTCGCAAGCTACTGACGTCGCTAGCTATCGCTATCGCTTGTCCCCCCTCCTCTTCCCTTCATCTGCCCTTCGTATCCCCTTCCTCCCCCCCATTCCATCCTCCTCCTCTCCCCCCTGCTCTCCCCCTTGCTTCCCCCCCGCTCTCCCCCCTGCTCTCCCCGCCACTCCTCTCCCCCCTCCGCTCCCCCCTCCTCTCCCCCCTGATTTCCCCCCTCCTCTCCCCACTCCTCTCCCCCTGCTCTCCCCCTCCTCTCCCCACTGCTCTCCCCCTTGCTCTCCCCCTTGCTCTCCCCCCTCCTCTCCCCCTCTCCCGTCCTCCAGCCAGCCTCACCATCGGTGACGAGCGGCAGGCGGAAGCTGACGTGGCAGTGACAATAGCGGACGGGAGTGCTGCAGGCGCGCAGAAAGCCGGCAGGGAAGCGGCGCGCGATGGGGAGAGTCTGGAAGCGGGGATGCTGCAGGGCGGGGCGGGGAAGGACTCGAGCCGGGCGGAGCTGTGGGAGGGCGGGGAGGAAAAGAATGGTGGAAGCCGTGGTGACGCGCGCCAGCAGCATGGGGATGCGCCTCATGGGTGTGGGGACGTGCAGCGCATGCGCCGGGGGGAGCGGCAGCGGGTGGTGGAGGCGGCGCTGGAGACAGTGGAGCAGGACAACGAGGCGGTGATGGCGAAGATGCGGGCGCGGCTGGACAGGTGCGGGTTGGTGGGGGGGAAGGAGGGGAGGTATGCACAGCGTCGTGCACAGTGTGGCGTGGCATGTACAGTGGCGTGGCATGCATGGTGTGTGACAGGGGCAGGAAGGTTGAGGATAGGGTGGGGAACGCAGGGAAGTGCGAGGTGTGGGGGAAGAGGGGGGGGAGGGGGACGAAGGGAGGGATGGAGAAGTGGAGGAGTGGGTGGCGTGGTGTGGGTGGCAATGCGAGGCTGAAGTGTGTGACAGGAGGCAGGCAGGCCCTCTGTGGATGCAACCATGCGTGATGCATCCCCTTTTCCTTGTGGCTTATCAAACATTCCTCTCGTCTTCATGGTTTGTCATCCTATGGGCATGTGCATGCATGGCTGCACTGCACGCGTGCATGGCTGCACGCACGCCATCACATGGCAGGGTGAATCTGGAGCCCCCATCAGTGGAGATTCGATTTGAGGATGTCAGTGTGGAGGCTAGGGTGTATGTGGGCAAGAGAGGACTGCCCACCCTCCCTAACTTCACACTCAATATGATCACAGTAAGTCACTCAATATGGCCACACATGCGCACGCATCACCTTCATGCGCACACGTCACCTTCATGCGCACCAGTCGGGTGACTTGGTGCACCGTGCACGTTCTCAACTACCCTGCGACCCTGCCCAAGCCACCTGCCAAGCCATCTGCCCAAGCCACGTGCCCAAGCCACTTGCCCAAGCCGCCTACCTGCCACTATCTATTGGGCCTGCCGCCTTCTTTCAACCATCTCACCTTGAGACCAATCCCAGGAGGCACACGCGTTCCCAGGAGGCACACGCGTTCCTAGGAGGCACAGCGGCATATTCTCCTAAACCCACTTCCCTCCTGTTCCCTCCGGATCGTCCTCTCCCCCATCGGCGCCCCAATCTTCGGCCCTGGCTGCGCTGCATGTGCCTGCTGCCCCACACACGCACTCACTCAGAATCCCCGCCGGCACCTCTTCCTTCCACATGCTCCCACACGCTGTCACACGCCCCCACACGCCCCCACACGCCCCCCAGCCCCCCGCCCCCCCCTCCCAGTCGTGGCTGCGTATCATGCAGCTGCCGCCCGACACATGCACTTTCTCTAACCCCCCCCTTCCCCCCTTCTCCTTCCGTATACTCCCCGCCCCTCTCCTTGTTCCCCCAGTCCTGGCTGCGCAGCATGCGCCTGCTGCCCGACGCGAGGCGCCGCTTCCCCATCCTCCACGGCTGCAGCGGGGTGCTCAAACCGGGCAGGTGAGGCTTCAAGCCGGGCAGGTGAGGCTCCCATTCGGGCAGGTGGGGCTTCAAGCTGGGCAGGTGAGGTCCAAACCCTGCCACGCGCGGTTTAAACCCTGGCAGGCGAGGCTTAAAGCCCGTGGCTAAAATAGAAGACGTGGAAGCCACTTGAATTTGGTGCTGTGAAATCCGTCTAAGTATAGAATGGAAGGCAGCTTTGAGCTCAAGCCTGGACAAGAAAAGTGCGTCGAAACGAATTCTAGTCTAGCTTGCTGATTGGAGGAATGACGAAAGAACTCGTTTTGCTGTTTGTTGTGACACCATCATTTGGATGCGATTTGGGCAAAAACACTGTGTGCATCGCATGGAGTTTCTACGACGGGTTTGGGCGCGAAGTCTGCGACGAGGAAATACAGGCGCGTCATGACCGGGGAATTCAAGTGATTTCCAGGTTTGCAATTCCGGAATCAGCTACTGTTCGCCAAGAAACACTGTTCTTCTCGCATTTTCACTGTTCACGGAACCACAAATTCGGTCGCACGACGCGTATTGCACTGTTCACCGAATGATTTCGTGCAAAAGTGTCGCCAAACTGCCAGGGTCAGATTCTGCTTTGCAAAACGAAATGTTTTTATTCTGTTTCGTTTACTCTAAAAATTAAGTCATTTGCCAAGTTCAAGAGGAAATTAAGCAGCCCTATTGATTGCTATTATAGCCATGGGATTTAAACCCTGGCAGGTGAGGCTCAAACCCTGACAGGTGAGGCACGCACCCTGGCAGGTGAGGCACGCTCCCTGGCAGATGAGGCCTATAGCCGGGCAGGTGAGGTTTTAACCCTGGCTTGTGAGGCTAAAACCCTGGCTGGTGATGCTTAAGCTCTGGCAGGTGTGGCTTTAACCCTGGCAGGTGTGGCTTAAACCCTGGCAGGTGTGGCTTAAACCCTGACAGCTGTGGCTCAAACCCTGGCAGGTGTGGCTTAAACCCTGGGTGGGCCGGCCAGGTGAGACTCAGCTTAGACCAAATGACGCTTATGCCTGCCAGGTGGCACGTAGCTGGGCAGGTGGGTGGCGATTGAGCTGGGGTGGCACTTGAGCCTGGTAGCTGCTATATTTGCCCATACGTGCCAGCAAGCAAGCGCTGCTTCTGATATCTGCTTCTACACCCTCCCTTCACATCCCCTCTGGGCCCTCCAAGGTTCCCCTCTTCTCCCCCCCTTCCCCCCACCTCCCCTCCCCCCCCTCCCCCCCCCCATAAGCATGGGCAATAGGTAGGCTTGAGCAACGGGTCGGGTCGGGTCGGGTAACCCGACCCGAACCCGACTTTTTGACGGGTCGGGTTGACATTTGCGGAGGGTCGACCCGACCCTCGGGTGCCCGACCCGACCCGACCCGACCCAACCGACAAAACCCAACCCGTCGGTTCGGCTTATTACCCGTCCCTGCCCCTATGCCAATTCGACCCGACCCGACCCGAAATCGGGTCAGGTAGTACCCGACCTACTAAACCCGGGTCGGGTTGACATTTCCTGAACTCCGACCCAACTTGACCCGACCCGACCCGACCCGAACCCGACATCGGGTAGCGCAACGTCGGGTCGGGTCGGGCCGGGTCAGGTATATGCTCAAGCCTAGCAATAGGCGAGTCGAGCATTACTTGCTCCCAGTAATTCTGACTCGACCCTCTTGGGAGGGGAGTCGAGCATTACTCGAGTTGAGTTTTTTTGCCAAGAAACCGACTTGTTTACTCGTTTTTCGGGCGAGTAAACGTTTTACTCGGGGCGAGTAATTTTTACTCGCCCTGAGGCAAGCATTACTCGCCTCGGGGCTGTTTGCCCCCCCTCCCCGAACAGTCACATTTTAGGAGTAGGCTTGAGCAACGGGTCGGGTCGGGTCGGGTAACCCGACCCGAACCCGACTTTTTGACGGGTCGGGTCAGGTTTCCCGTCGGAAGAACCCGACCCGTCGGGTTTGATTTGTACCCGTCGGGTCGGGTCAACCCGAACCCGACATGGACGGGTTCGGGTGAACCCGACATGGACGGGTTCGGGTGAACCCGACATGTCGGGTTGACCCGACCCGACTTCGGGTATACATCGTCGGGTTGACCCGACCCAACCCGAACCGAAGTCGGGCCGTGCCTCGACCTGACGCAATCTGCACGACCTGAGTTGCGCAGATCTGGAAAGTCTGACGGTTTGGTCGAATGTTTGACCAGATGGGCCATTTTCCAGATCCTACTTAGGCTACCTCCCATTTTTACCCTGCATCCAGCTCATTCCTAACACTAATCTACTCCCCACCATGCTTATTTGATCGACCAATTTCCATATCGGTTTCTATTGGATCGACACAACCAACAAGCTCCTCGACACCACCACCAACCCAACCAACTTTTCGCCAACACGCCCAACCAAACCAACTTTTCGCCAACACTTCCAAACCAACCAATTTTCGCCAACACGCCCAGCCCAACCGAATTTTCGCCAACACGCCCAACCCACCGAATTTTCGCCAACACCCGCAACCAAACCAAAATCTCGCCAACACCCCCAAGCCAACCAATCTTTCGCCACACCCCTAAACCAACCAAAAAGTCGCCAACACCCATTCATTCCGTCACTGGTTTTCATCAACATCCTCCAACTTAACCAATACTTCGCCAACACCCAAAACCACATGTCGAGGTTGCGGGGGGATGAGGAGGGTGGGCTAGGAGACGCGAGGAGGACTCACTGGAGGACTCAGCTGTTCCCCCCTGGGGAAAAAATAGCTTCTAGTTAGGTCGGGTCAAGTCGGGTCGGGTCGGGTCGCATCAACCCGACCCGACCGCGGGTAGGAGCTGACCCGACCAGCTATGGTCGGGTCGGGTTGGTAAAATCCTAACATCGACCCGACCTGACCCGACCCGACCCGACCCGAACCCGACCTCGGGTTAGGCAAAGTCGGGTCGGGTCGGGTCGGGTCGGGTTAATGCTCAAGCCTATTTAGGAGGGGAGCGTTTGAACGTTAAATGCTTGATTTCTGGTCTGGCAATCGCTTGATAAACGGAAGGGGGGGGGAAGCGGGGTTGCAGAGCACGTTCTAGGAGGCGATATGGTGGCCTCTGTAGTTGCGTGCGGAAATAAGTTACCAGGATTAGAAGGGATAGCGTGTGCACCCTCCTCACGTAGAGCGTGCTAGAGGGGTGGGTTGGATTTCGTAGTTGCAGACAGGTTCAGTGCGATTGAAGTGGAGGGATTTGGTTGGTCGTCGATTTCTGGCGAAAATGTCGACATTCGCGACTTGGCGACATTCCGTTTCGGATTCGCCACGTCACGCAGTTTCGATTGGTTTCTTCGCATTTTCTTGGGGGCAGCCGAAAGAACAAAAAAGCAGCCACGTTTGGGGTCTGAAATTGCACTTGTGGTCACATAGCTTCATTTAGGGGTCTGAATCGTTAGGCCAGCACAAGATGACTTGGCATGCACGCTAAGTGTGAGCAAAATCAGTGCACGCACGGAGTTGTTGCTCGCGAGTAATTTTTCTCGCCCACATGAGACGAGTAACAGTCGAGTACTCGTTTACTCGACGAGTAAACTCGACTCGACTCGGGGCGAGTTATTTCCAGGAGGTGCCGGCTCGTTACTCGGAAAAAACGAATCAAGCAATCGAGTCGAGTTTTTACTTGCCTCGACTGCCCATGCTTACCCCCCCCACATACACACCCCATGCCTGAAGATCGGCTCCTCTCCTTTCTCCCCCCCCCCACCCCCCCCCATTCCCCTTAAGGATGACGCTTCTCCTTGGCTCACCTGGCGCTGGCAAGACCACACTCATGACTGCCCTGGCTGGCCACCTGGACAGGCACCTGAAGGTATGCTGGCCACCTAAACCTGAAGGTATGCCTGCTAGAAAACCCGGCAGTGAGAGATTGACTTGACTATGCATGTTGGACTCGGTGTATTCCACTCCTTCTGCCCTCCCCTGAGAGCTCTGTTAGCACGTTGTTGCGCGGCGGTGCCTCATGCATGCTGCTCTTCTCATCTTTTCTCCCCTGCCTCTTGCCTCTTGCCCCTTGCCTCAACCCTCTTGCCTCCTGTTTTCCATCTCTGCAGCTCGCCGGCTCCATCACGTACAATGGGCAGGAGCTGAAAGATTTCAACCCTGCCCGAACAGCGTCTTGTGTGCCACAGACCGACGAGCACATTGGCGAGATGACCGTTAGGGAAACCCTTGACTTCTCCGCTCAGCTGCAGGGCCGCGGGCCGTTCAGAGGTGAGACAGCTGCAGGGAAGAGGGCCTTCAAAGGGCGAGATAGCTGCAGGAAAGAGGGCCTTCAAAGGGTGAGGTATCAATCTTGCCCCTTGAGACGACTCACAGGTCACTATGGCGTGGGGATGTTGTGCTCTGGGAGGGTGGGCCAGGGGAGTTTGGGGGACGGTTTCGCTTTCCTCTGTGTTGCGAACTACTCATGCCAGGATGACATCTTCTCCTTTTGTTGGGATGTTGAAGGGTAGATGCGTTGTAGGTGCTAGGAGTTTTGTCTGCGTGGACACTTGTACTGTAGTTCCTTCATGTGTGTGTGTGGATGTGTGTGTGGTTCTGTCTGAGTGCAGTGCTTGTGGAGGAGTTGGAGAGGAGGGAGAGGGAGATGGGGGTGGAGCCGGATGCGACAACAGCCCTGCTGATGAAGGTGAGGCCATGAGTCAACGCTGGTCAAAGACGAGTCAATTCTGGTCAGCATGAGTCAATTCTGGTCGAGGCGAGTCTGGACGGTCAATTAAGCACAGTCAATGCTCACGGAAGGAAATCCTTCGTGACGTCCCACGGAATCTTTCCTTGTTGGTTGTCCTCATTTTCTTCTCATTGCCTTTTCTGCATCCTGCTCTCTTCCTGGTCTCCTCCTCTCCTCTCACCTCTCACGTCAGCTCTTTCCTCCCACCTTCCTGCCAGGCCATGGCAGTGGAGGCCAACCCGTCCAACATGGTCACCAACTATCTGCTGCAGGTCTGACAGGGTGTATCATTTGAGCGTGCCCCTAAACCCTATGCTGCAGTTGTGGCTTGTGTTGCACATGTGACTGTCTAGGGTTGAAGGTTGATCTTTAACCCTATGGTGCATGTGTGGCTATAAGGGGGGGTGCGTGGCTATAAAGGTGTGGGTGGTTTTAAGAGTGTGCGGCTATGTGCTCCAGGTGTCACTAAATTCTCTCTGATATTTTTGCTGAGCAGCACACAAGTGAAGATTTCTTTGAGATTATGCACAGGAAAGCCCTGCTTCTCTGGACTAATCGATTCGTTTCTTCCACCTGCTTTGTTGTTTTCCCCTGATGCCAAAGCTTCGCTTCTTGCAAATTACTATCGGCAGCTGTTGGGGCTGGCATATACGCTCGCGGACCCCGGGGGGCTATGCACTGTGTGCTCTTCTGAAGCCCAAACACCCCCCTCACCCTGCAGCGTCTGGGGCTGGGCATCTGTGAGGAGACGATGGTGGGCGATGTGTGATCATCTGCTGCCCAGGCATGCCACAATCACTCCCAAGCACCCAACTCCCCTGCAACCCACCTCACTCCTGTGCACACCTCTTCCGTCCCCCCCCCCCAGCTGCTGGGGCTGGGCATCTGTGCGGACACAGTGGTGGGCAATGCTTTGGTGCGAGGCATTTCAGGCGGGCAGAAGAAGAGGCTGACCACAGGTGCGTTACGGGCAGAGGAAGAGGCTAACGTCCATTGCATTCGATGCTCTGCGCAACTCGAGTTGCGCGGGTCTGAAAAATTTTCCTTATACTTCCAATTGTTTCTCCACATCTGCGCGGATCGGCAGGTGGAACGCCAGATCCGCACGATATGACAGGCTTGCATGGTGGGGGGAGGGAGGGGTATATGGTATAGTAGGCCCAGAGGCCGGCCCAACCGGTTTGCGGTGGATGGGCCGAGGGCCGTCAAAGAGCCAGGGCCGGCCCTGGCCCTTCCCTTGATCATGTGCATTGCTCCCTGCTTTGATCAATGTGTTCTTTCCATCCCTTCAGGTCAAGAACTAGTGGGCATGCAGCAAGTGCTCCTGATGGACGAGATCTAAACCGGTCTTAACTCCTCTACCACCTTCCTCTTCGTGTGCTCCCTCTTTCTTCCCTCTCTCCTCTCTCCCCCCTCCTTCTTTTCAGGCGAGGAGCTGGTGGGCATGAGGCAAGTACTCCTGATCAACCGGTCTTGACTCCTCCACCACCTTCCTCATCTCCCGGCCGCTCATCCCCTTCTCTCTCACACCCACTGCCCCCAGGCGAGGAGATGGTGGGCATGAGACAGGTCCTCCTGATGGACGAGATCAGCACGGGCCTCGACTCCTCCACCACCTTCCTCATCGCGCGCTGCCTGCACCACCTCACGCACGCGCTGCGCACCACCACGCTCGTCGCGCTGCTGCAGCCTGCCCCCGAGACCTTTGCGCTCTTCGATGACGTGCTACTGCTGGCAGAGGGCCATGTGGTGTACCACGGGCCCCGGGAGGGCGTCATGGGGCTCTTCCAGTCACTTGGGTTCGACTGCCCGCGCAGGAAGGGAGTTGCGGACTTCTTATTGGAGGTGAGTGGGATTTTGCTGGCGGAGGGGCATGTGGCGCACCACGAGCCGAGGGAGGGGGTCATGGGGCTGTTCCAATTGCTGGGGTTCGACTCCCCGCCCAGGAAGGGCGTGGCAGACTTTTTGCTAGAGGTGGGTGCGGATGATGCTGTGTGTTGAGGCTCTTCAAGGTGCTGTTGCTGGCGGAGGGGCATGTTGTGCGCCATGGGCGAGGGGGGGGGCTGAGTAATTGGGTTTGACTGCTCGGCCGGATGAAGGATGGCATAACTTTCGATAGAGGTGAGGTGAGTGGTATGATCAAGTGGGGCTGTGAGTTGGGATGGTGTTGTTGGAGCGTACAACTGTGGTGATGATATTCTCGCAGATAACTCTAGTGGTGAAGAGAGCATGGCCATCTTGCTGGCGGAGGCAGAGGTGACAATGCAAGCATGCATCCCATCCCCTACCTCGTCCTTTCTCATTCAGCTTCAATCATTTCCACGATCAGGTGCCTTTTAACATGGTTCTTCCTCCTCTTCCCCCTCCCACCCCCTGTCGTCCCAGGTGACGTCAGCCAAGGACCAGGCGCAGTACTGGGTGGACCGGTCTCAGCCGCACGAGTTCATGGCGCCTGGCGATATCGCCGCCGCCTTCCGCCACTCCGCCAGCGGCAAGCAGAGGCAGGCAGAGCTGGCGGTGAGTGAGTGCAGCACAGAAGGGAGAGAGGACGTTTAACATGAGAGTGAGGGCATGCCCCATCCGTTCATTTCTCTCTTACCCCTACTTTTCCTCCTCGCTCCGCTTTTCTTGTTCCATCTTCATTTCGCCCCACTCTTTTCCTTTTCCTCTCCCCTCTCTCCATCCGCCCCGCCCCTCTTTTCCCTCTTTTCCTCTTTTCATTTGGACCTTCACTTCCTTCGTGTCCCAACTGTGTTACCCAGCAAATCCAGCATTGACCATTGGAACAATGTAACTCGTCTGATCCCCTCCGTCTTTCCCCCTTTCCGCCTTCCCGTTTCTCCATTTACTTTTACTTCCCATCGCTTGGTCCCTCACAGGCCCCCTTCCCGCCCACAGATGCGTCCAAGTCAGCACTGGAGTTGGCGCCCTATGCCCTCTCGGCCACTCAGATGCTGACAGCTGTCTTCGCCCGGGAGTGGCTGCTGATGAAGCGCAACGCGCTGCTCTACATGGCGCTCATCATGCAGGTGGGAGGCATGGCGCTCATCATGCAGGTGGGGCGTGGTCTCCAGTGCTGACTTGGATGTGCTCATCATGCAGGCATACACATGTGTGACGTAGCATGCATGGGGTGTACATCCATGTGTGTCGCTAGTCATGCAGGTGGGACGTGGCCGGTGGGATGTGTGATGCTGCATGCACATGGGGTGTGACATACACCATTGGTGTGACATGCACATGTGGTGTGACGTGGCATGCATGTGTGGTGACATGCATATGTGGTGACATGCATGATGCATATGTGGTGTGACATGCATGCCTGATGTGACGTGGCTGAAAGAACACAAGTTGGTAAGCTTGGAAAGCCTCAACCATGAAAGATCTGGGACCACTGCTGGTGTCATGCAAAAGAGCCTCTCTGTCCTCACTTGATCCTGACACCTCAGTGCCCTCCATTCCTCTTCACCGCTCTGCACCTCCACCCCTTCCCCTCCTCCCACCCCCCACCGCTCTCCATGCAGATCATATTCACGGGTCTCATGGTGTCCATGGTGATCCTGCGCACCCACGCAGTGCTCCATCACAATGAAAAACTACCAGAACCTTTACCCGCACGATACCCGCTCTGCACCACCCTCTACCCCTCTCCACCCCTCTCCATGGGGCTCATGTCGGCTGCGGCGTTCCTGTACACGCAGCAGTCCATAACCACCAAGAGACTTTCAAGACCTAGACTCTTGACCCCTCTCCACCCCTCTCCACCGGCCTTCCACCGTTCTCTGTGCAGGTCATATTCACAGGGCTCATGTCATCCACAGTGTTCCTGTACACGCAGCGCTCCATCACCGCCAAGGACGGCAACATCTACCTGGGGGTGCTGTTTCTGGGGATCACCATGATGCTCTTCAACGCTTTCTTCGAGCTCCTGCTCTTCACGCTGCGCCTCCCCATCTTCTTCAAGCAACGGGATGCGCGCCTCTTCCCCGCCTGGGCGTGGGTGCTGCCCATGGCGCTGCTCTCGCTGCCGCTTTCTGTGGTCGTCGCGTCCCTCTGGACGGTCTGCACCTACTTCCTTGTTGGCTTTGCGCCCGAGGCTGGAAGGTGCGCCAGACTGCGCATGGGGAAAGAGGGTGGATGGTTTTTTTGTCCACTGGATAGTTGTGCGTGTGCCTCACCCTCCCTCCCTCTCCTTTCCCTCTCGTGCTTCTCACTTTCTCTCCCCCCTCTCCCCTCCCTCTTCCCAACCCCATGCAAGCACCGCGCAGCTTTTCAATCCGCCCCTCATCCTCCTCATCCACCCGGCTAATGTCGCTCTCTTCCGCCTGCTGCCTGCAGCACCCAGGGCTCTCACTTTCTTGCCCCCCCCTCTCCTCTCCCTCTTTTTCCAAGCCACACTCCCTGCAGGTTCTTCATCCAGCCGCTCACATTCTTCCTCCTTCCTGCCCTTCCCCCGCCTTCCCCTGCCCTCGTCCTCTCAGGTTCTTGATCCAGCTGCTCATCCCCCTCCTCATTCCTTTCCCTTTCCCCTTTGCCCTTTTCTCCGCAACCCCTCACCCCTGCAGGTTCTTCATCCAGCTGCTCATCTTCTTCCTCATCCACCAGGTGGGCGTGGCGCTCTTCCGCCTGCTGGGCGCGTTGGGCCGCAACCTGGTGGTGTCCGTCACCCTGGGCAACTTCTGCTTCATCCTCCTCTTCCTGCTCGGGGGCTTCATTGTTGCCAAAAGTACGCCACACTACACACCTGTTGCTACCTGCACACCTGTTGCTACCTGCGCACCTGTTGCTACCTGCGCACCTGTTCCGAGCTGTATCCTCTTCCATCATCGACCCGACCATAGATGTTGAAGGTGTACAAATGCCACCCTTCTATTACCCGATGCCCTGCTGCCGTCCTGCCATGTCATTCCATGCCATGCCATGCCATGCCATGCCGTGCCATGCCATGCCATGCCATTCATGTCTCTTGCCATCCAAACTGGTCGCTCATCTCTCTCGTCACTTGGAGCTTTCATTCCCATCGCCTCGGGGATTACATTCCCATCATTCGCTCATCAGGTGGCTCTCCTTCGTGCTCCACCGCTCTTGCCATAATTCGTATCACCGTTGTTGCCTCATGCCATTTACAGCATGCTGTGGTTCATGCCGTGGTTCATGCCATGGTTCATGCCGTGGTTCATGCCATGGTTCATGCCATGGTTCATGCCGTGGTTCATGCCATGGTTCATGCCATGGTTCATGCCGTGGTTCATGCCATGGTTCATGCCATGGTTCATGCCATGGTTCATGCCATGGTTCATGCCATGGTTCATGCCATGGTTCATGCCGTGGTTCATGCCATGGTTCATGCCATGGTTCATGCCATGGTTCATGCCGTGGTTCATGCCATGGTTCATGCCATGGTTCATGCCGTGGTTCATGCCATGGTTCATGCCATGGTTCATGCCATGGTTCATGCCATGGTTCATGCCATGGTTCATGCCGTGGTTCATGCCGTGGTTCATGCCGTGGTTCATGCCATGGTTCATGCCGTGGTTTATGCCATGGTTCATGCCATTGTTCATGCCATGGTTCATGCCATGGTTCCTGCCATGGTTCATGCCATGCCGTGCCGGCCTATCAAATGCCGCCCAATCACTTGAATCATCCCCTTATCACTTGAATCACCCCCTTATCACTTGAATCACCCCCTCTCATGACTCTCGTCATCACACCTTATAGTTTGTCAATTCTCCTTGTGCTGCATACATGACGTCCTGCCATGGTTCATCTGGGTCGGTTGATCGGCGCCCATCACTCGTATCACCTCTCATCCGCCCATCACTCGTATCACCCCTCATCCGCCCATCACTCGTATCACCCCTCATCCGCCCATCACGGACTTATGTTTGCCACTTCTCCTTCCCCCGCCACAGATGGCATCCGGCCGTGGCTCATTTGGGCCTACTGAATGTCGCCCCTGACCTGCACTCCACCGTGCTTCATTTCTGATTGCCAACACTGAATGGTTCCAATACCCCCCCACCCCCTCTCCCCTCCTCACAGATGATATCTGGCCGTGGTCCACCAGGGCGTACTGGATGTCGCCCATCACCTGACCTGCACTCAGCCATGCTTCATCCCCCCCTGGAATCCTGGATGTCATTGCAGCACTGTATGCTGCCACTTATTCCTCCCCCACCCCCCCCTCCTCCTCCCTTTGCAGACGACATCCGGCCGTGGTTCATCTGGGCGTACTGGATGTCGCCCATCACCTACGCACAGAACGCCATCTCTGTCAACGAACTGCTCGCCCCCCGGTGGCAAGTGGTGAGTCAGTGGCATGCCAGGTTGGAAGGGGATGGGATGCAACCCAACTATAGGGTATTTACTGAACATGACACTCTACAGTCTGGGATTCAGAAAACAATGCTCTAAGAAACAGATACCCAAACCCACGTTTGTGAGATGGATCGTTCCTACAGATGCACGATTTGTCCCCTTCCCCCTCCGCCCTCCCCCTTGCCATCCACCCGTCCCAAGGGCCATTGGTTCCCAACCATGGCTAGGCCTGCTAGTGCTCGCAGTGGCTTCTCAGTCCACTTGAGCTTATCCCCAACCCCATTGACCTTGGTGAGGTAACCTCCTACCCCCTCTCCCGTCCCCCTTCCCCCCACCCCCAGCCCACAGCGCCTCTGATCCCCAACTCCACAGTGGGCCTGCTAGTGCTGCCAGGTGGCTTCTCTATCAACTGAAGTCCCCCTTGCTCTCTCCCCCCTGCCCCCTCCCCCCTATCCGCCAGTCCACAGCGCCCCTGGTCCCCAACTCCACGGTGGGGCTGGTGGTGTTGGCGGGGCGCGGGCTGCCCTCGGAGAGCAAGTGGGTGTGGATCGGCGTTCTGGCACTCATCGGCTTCACTCTCCTCTTCAACGGACTCATCGTCGTCGCCCTCTCCATCCTCCACCGTCCGTGCTGCTCTCTCTTGCTGCTCGCTCTTGCTGCTCTCTCTTGCGGCTCTCTCTTGCTGCTCGCTCTTGCTGCTCTCTCTTGCTGCATGCCCCATTGCTTCTCCCCCCCTGTATGGTGGCCTCTTTGCCCTCTCCATTCTCCACTGTCAGTGCTGCTCTCTCTTACAGCCCAATTGCCCTCTCCACCCTCCACCGTCCGTGCTGCTCTTCCTTCAAGCTGAGCTCTCTCGGTTGAAGCACATGGCCATCACCCTGTCCTTTTCCTTTGCAGTAGCCATCGTCTGCTCTTCGAACCTCTCAGTGAAACCCCGTCGCTCGCTGTTCCTCATTCTGCTCCCATCCCTTCCCCATTCCACCCTATGCCACGTCACCATCTGCCATCAGCATGGGCCAAGGACCAGCCAGTGACAGAGGAGCAGCTGGAGGCCAGGGTGGAGGCAGCAGTGGGCCTCACGCCCACCACAGCCACCAGCAGACGCCTCTCCAGGCGCTTCAGCAGCAGCAAGGGCAATGCTGGCGGCGGCGATGGTGGGGGGGACATGGGCTCGCTGCCCATCAGCATCAGCATCACCCGCACCCAGTCAGGGCAAAGCTCCCGCTCTGTGGGGTCCCGCAGTGGAGCCCTCGAGCGGTACTGTGAGAGAGGTGAGGGTAGGCTTGGGCAAATTACCCGTGCTGGTCGGGTACCCGTACCCGTACCCGACTTTTGGCCGGATCGGGTAGTACGAATTCGACTTACTACCCGGCCGGGTTGGGTCGGGTAACCCGGCCGGGTAACCGATACCGGTTTTCCTACCCGACGCGGCGGGTAATTCATACCCGCCGGGTCGGGTAAACCCGACCCGACTAGGCTATTGTTAACACCCCTAAAACACATTATGGGCCTCATTATGGCCCATTATTTTGGGCGGGTAGTAATACCCGTTTTTAACCACAACTAGGGTATGGGTACTCGACCCGCGGGGCGGGTACCTTATTACCTGCCCACTATACCCCGGGTCGGGTAATGGTTGTGGGCCAGATACCCGACTACTACCCGCCCCGATATTACCCGACCCGAAGTCAGGTAAGGCAAAATCGGGCACGGGTGGGTAATTACCCGTTTTTGCCCAACCCTAGGTGACGGAATGGTGAAAGAGGTGAGAGAATGGCGAGAGAAACTTTGTTAGAAATAGATTGCAATCCCACTTTTGTATTTGTACTTTTATATCCTAGTTTAGATTATGAATGTTCTTGAGGGTTGGGATGCACTCTCAAATCCCAACCTCACCTAATTGTGATCCCCCCAATCTCCAATCACCCAATTGGAGATTCCGGAGATTCCGGAGATTCCAATGGGGATTCTCTCCGATTCCCCCCTTCAACCATCTTCCCTCACCTTGCCATGTACTTATAAAGCCTTGGGCTCCTTACCTAATTAATCCATTCAGTTCAAGTTCTTACAGAACTGACACAAGTGCAGGTCCATATTTAGTTTGCACTCAAGCCATGAAACCCTTCCCCTCACTACCCACATCTATCCTTTTCCCTCACCACTCATCTGCACCGATCATGTTCATCACTCCCGTTCCCCCTCCACCCTCCATCCCTCTCCCCGCCGTCTCCCACCCCACCCGCAGTCTCCTCCTCTCGCTCCCTCGGCGGCCCACTCGAGCCCTCTCTGTCGCGTGACCTCTCCGTGCCGCCCGCCACCACGCGCGGCATGGTGCTCCCCTTCCAGCCGCTGCCCCTGTCGTTCCACAACGTGTGCTACTGGGTCGACATGCCACCCGCCATGCGCTCCCAGGGGGGGGACACGCCCTCCCGCCTGCAGCTCCTGAGGAACGTCTCTGGGGCGTTTCGCCCAAAAGTGCTGACGGCACTGGTGGGGGTGACGGGCGCGGGGAAGACTACTCTCATGGATGTGTTGGCAGGGCGGAAGACGGGGGGATATATCGAGGGGGATGTGCGCGTGGCGGGGCACCCGAAGGTGCACAAGACGTTTGCGCGCGTGTCGGGGTACTGCGAGCAGAGCGACATCCACTCCCCGCAGGTCACGGTGCATGAGTCGCTGCTGTTCTCGGCGTGGCTCAGGCTGCCAGCCGACATCGACAGGGACGTGAGGGAGGTGCGTGGGAACGAGTCATACAATGCCAAGGCTTCTTCAATTCCAGAATTATCAGCTGTTGAATATAATCTTTTAGCAAGACCGCACGCAGTAGGACTTGCCTGCAGGTCACGGGGCATGACTCGCCGCTGTTCTCCGCGTCACTCAGGCTGCCGGCCGACATCGAGAGGGACGTGAGGGAGGTGCATGGGAATAGCGGAGGAGATAATGGAAGGGTGGGTGGGTGGGTGGGAGGGAGCGAGGGGGCGTGAGTGGGTGGGTGGGCGGGTGGGTGGGTGGGAGGGTGGGTGTGTGGGTGGGTGGGTCGGAGGGTGGGTAGGTGGCTCAGACTGCCACTGGATGCTGACATGGCAGGGATATGCGGGAGGGGTGAGCTGAGCGACACGCTGGTGGGTCCTTGATTGAGACCTCTTCCTTTTGTCCCCTTTCCTTCGTTTGCTTACAGCATTGTGTGCCGGAGGGGATGGAGCTGGCGGAACTACAAGTAGGGGCAATCATGGGCTCTCCTTAGCCCCTCTCTTTTCTCTCCCCCCCACCCTTTCCCTTCCCCAGCCGGTCCTGTTCGTTCACCAGGAGTTGGTGGAGGAGGTGATGGAGCTGGTGGAGTTAGTTGTGCTGGGGGACGCGCCCATGGATCTTTCCGCGGATTCGAGTGGGTCTCATTCCCCCCGTGGCACCCTCCCCCCCGCTGCTCCCCTTCTCCACCAGGAGTTGGTGGAGGAGGTCATGGAGCTGGCTGAACTGGACATGCTGCGGGCAGCAATCGTGGGTTCTTTAGCCCTTCTCTTTTGTCCCCTTTGCTTGCTCCCCTCACCAGGAGTTCGTGGAGGAGGTGATGGAGCTGGTGGAGCTGGACGTGCTGCGGGGCGCGCTGGTGGGGCTGCCGGGGGTGAGCGGGCTGTCCACGGAGCAGAGGAAGCGGCTCACCATCGGGGTCGAGCTGGTGGCCAACCCCTCCATCATCTTCATGGACGAACCCACCTCAGGTAAAGCCTGGACGAGACCACCTCAGGTAAAGCCTGGACGAGACCACCTCAGGTACCGCCTGGACGAACCCACCTCAGGTGCCGCCTGGACGAACCCACCTCAGGTGCCGCCTGGACGAACCCACCTTTGGTGCTGCCTGGACGAACCCACCTCAGCTGCCACCTGCCCCAGGTAGCACCTATTTCAGGGGATGAGTTTGCTGTCGGCAGAGCAGAGGAAGTGCCTGGATGAACCCACCTCAGGTACCACCTGTATTAGGTAGCACATTAGGACCCTTCACCCTCTGCCCCTCTGCCACCCTGCCAAATTCCCCTCAGGTCTGGTTTCAGGAGCAGCAGCATGAGTGACGCAGAGGGTGTTGAGGCGCCCTCAAGGCCCGTTGCACCCTCCTCTATCCCCACAGGTCTGGCCGCAAGGGCAGCAGCCATTGTGATGCGTGTGGTTCGCCTTTTGAGGCACTTGAGGGTCCGTTCTCTTCCTGCCCCTCTGCCACCTCCTCCACCCCCCAGGTCTGGATGCAAGGGCAGCGGCCTTTGTGATGTGCATGGTGCACAACATGGTGCCCAACATGGTGCACAACATGGTGCACAACATGGTGCACAACATGGTGCACGCACATGGTGCACGCGGGCAGGACTGTGGTGCGCACCATCCATGGTTGCGCCACCGACTGTATTCAGAGCACCTCACCTGTATTCCACCTACGCCCCCCGCCTGTCGTCCTCAGGTCTGGATGCGAGGGCAGCGGCCATTGTGATGCGCACGGTGCGCAACACAGTGGACACGGGAAGGACTGTGGTGTGCACCATCCACCAGCCGTCCACCGATATCTTTGAGGCGTTTGACGAGGTGCGCTGTAACGGGTATGAATGTGTATCATCCATCAGTCAAACAGGAGTGTGGTATGCACCACTTTCCAGGCTGCAGTGTGCTAGTTACCATCATCTGCCACCTGTTTCTCACAATGACTGCCTGAATTGCACCCCAAAATGCATGCTGATGGCAAGTGCTGTTGTTTCAGCCGTTACCTCACTGTGGTGTCTGTTTGTTCATATAATGCAGCTGCTTCTAATGAAGACAGGAGGACAGGTTATTTATATGGGGCCTCTGGGGGTCAACTCGAAGCATCTCATCAGCTATCTTGAGGTATGTTACTATCGCGTCTTATGCAGTCTAGTTCCACGTCTTACCTCTCCCGTTCCTTCCTCTCCCTTCCCTTGCATTCCTCGCTTCGTTCCCTTCCTTATATTTCGACCTTTGTTCTATCCTGATTTCCAAATCACGTGGCACATGGCACATGGCACATGGAACTTCAAACCTGTTTCTCCCCCCCCCCTCGCCCTCCCCTCCCTGCCTTCCCTCGCCCTCCCCTCCCTCCCTTCCCTGCCTCCCCGTCCCTTCCCGTCACCTCCTCTCTCACGCAGGCCATACCCTGTGACCCATCCACATGGCTACCCGGAGACCCATCCACATGGATACCCGGAGACCCATCCACATGGATACCCGGAGACCCATCCACATGGATACCCGGAGACCCATCCACATGGATACCCGGAGACCCATCCACATGGATACCCGGAGACCCATCCACATGGATACCCGGAGACCCATCCACATGGATACCCAGAGACCCATCCACATGGATACCCGGAGACCCATCCACATGGATACCCAGAGACCCATCCACATGGATACCCGGAGACCCATCCACATGGATACCCGGAGACCCGTCCACATGGATACCCGGAGACCCGTCCACATGGACACCTGGAGACCCATCTACATGGATACCCGGAGACTCATCCACATGGATACCCAGGGACCCATCCACATGGATACCCGGAGACCCATCCACATGGATACCCAGAGACCCATCCACATGGATTCCCGGAGACCCATCCACATGGATTCCCAGAGTGCCCTCCATTCCCGATGCGACAACCCCACCAGGTGGATGCTGAACGTCACTCCCGTGGACTAGGAGATGCCATCGCATCTCTCAATCCCTTCCTCTTATTTTTCTCCTCTCCTCCCTTCTCCCGCCCTCCCTCCTCCCACCCTCTCTCCTCCCGCCCTCCATTACGCCAGGCAATACCCGGGGTGGCCCCCATCCCCGATGGCTACAACCCTGCCACGTGGATGCTTGAAGTCACAGCGCCTGCTGCTGCTGAGAGCATTGGGGCCGACTTTGCAGAAATATTTTGCAGCTCGCAGCTTTTCAGGTGAACCTCCAGGGGCTCGCAACTCTGCAGGTAAACCTTCGGGACCCGCAGGTGTTCCGGTGAATGTTTTATCTGCTCAGGTGAAAGGCCAGGGACTCACCTTTCAGATGAATATCCAGGAACATGAGATTGTTCAGGTGGCATTTTCAAGTCTTGCTGCAAGTCAAGTGAGATCACAAGTCGAAATGTCTGGTGAAGGGCCATCCATGATGCCATGTGTTTTCCTGACAACCTTCTCCTTCATCTCCCCCCTTTGTGCACCCCCTCATCCATCCATCCATCACTGCCCCATGGTCCTACCCCCCTGCGCCCATCTCTTCTCCCTCAACCCTCCCTCTTCATCTCTTTCTCCCCTCTCATTCTTCTCATCTTTCCCGGCATCCCCTTGCCTCACCCCTAACCCCCTGCAGGGACAACAAGGCTCTGATCATCTCCCTCTCCGCCCTCCCTCCCGGCTCCGCCCCTCTCCACTTCTTCTCGAGCTGCGCCACCTTCTTCCCCACGCAGTTGGCCGCCAACCTGGGGCAGTGTGCACTCATGTTCTGCCCAGCACCTCACTTCACCGCCGTGCACTTCTCCCCACCTCCCTCCTTGCCCTCACTCAACCTCCCCTCCTCCCTCTCCTCCCTTCCCCCCCACACCCCTGCAGGGACAACGAGGCGCTGATCGCTCCCTCTCCTCTCCCGCTCCCAACTCCGCGCCCACTGCACTTCCCCACGCGCTACGCCACCTCCTTCCTCACGCCAGTTCGCCGCCAACTTCTGGAAGCGCCCCTCATGTACTGGCGTGCGCCCGACTTCAATGCCGTGCGCTTCTTCCTCGCGGTGTGCATGTCGCTGATCATGGGCGCCATCATGTTCAGCTTCGGGCCACTCCCACACCACGCAGCAGGAGGTGCTGAACGTGATGGGCGCCCTCTACGTGACGGCCCTTCTCATGGGGTGGAACGCAGCCACGTCCCTCCAGCCCATGCTGTGCACCGAGCGCACTGTCTTCTACCGAGAGCGCGCCGCCGGGCTGTACGGGTCTCTCCCGTATGCTCTGGCGCAGGGTGCGATCGAGGCGCCGTACATAGTGGTGGAGGCGCTTGCTGCTGTGCGTGATCACATATGCGCTGCTGGTGCTCCAGTGGGACGCGGCCAAGTTCTGGCTGTACTGCGGCGTTCATCACCCTCACGCTGCTGTGCTTCGCCTGCTTTGGCATGATGGCAGTGGCCATCACGCCTAATGAGCTGCTCGCGGTGGTGCTCAGTGGGTTCTTTGTCATGTTGTGGAATCTCATGTGCGGCTTCCTCATCCCCAAACCGGTGAGTTGGCCATTCGGCGAAACGTGCCACGTTCAAGTGCTGTATTGAACCGACTTAAGAAAATGGCACTACAGTGGGTGTGCTATGGAGCCCCACTGCATTTTTCTCAATTCTAATTTCTAAACGGTAAGCAGCTCTTTAAAGCAAAAAGGGGCAGGTTCTCTAGACGCCCCCATTTTAACCAAAACTTCAAAGCAACGTGTTGACCAATATCCGACATTGCTTGTAGCTCCGAATGCCCGTCTTGTCTGACTGAAATCGCCTTGTGCCTTGAGCAGTCATGATGTATGCGTTTGCTGTACCTCCCATGCTTGTGGGTGTGCCTTGTGCGCGCGAACGGATGTGTGTGCATGCATTGTTGGTTGCTTCCAGGAAATCCCCGTGTGGTGGAGCTGGTTTTACTACATCAACCCCATAGCATGGTCGCTCTACGGCCTCATCACCTCTCAGGTCGGTGCCATCCCCTCTCAGGTCGGTGCCATCCCCTCTCAGGTCGGTGCCATCCCCTCTCAGGTCGGTGCCATCCCCTCTCAGGTCGGTGCCATCCCCTCTCAGGTCGGTGCCATCCCCTCTCAGGTCGGTGCCATCCCCTCTCAGGTCGGTGCCATCCCCTCTCAGGTCGGTGCCATACCCTCTTAGGTCGGTGCCATCCCCTCTCAGGTCGGTGCCATCCCTCTCAGGTCGGTGCCATCCCCTCTCAGGTCGGTGCCATCCCTCTCAGGTCGGTGCCATACCCTCTCAGGTCGGTGCCATCCCTCTCAGGTCGGTGCCATCCCCTCTCAGGTCGGTGCCATCCCCTCTCAGGTCTCGGTGCCATACCCTCTTAGGTCGGTGCCATCCCCTCTCAGGTCGGTGCCATCCCTCTCAGGTCGGTGCCATCCCCTCTCAGGTCCGTGCCATCCCTCTCAGGTCGGTGCCATACCCTCTCAGGTCGGTGCCATCCCCTCTCAGGTCGGTGCCATCCCTCTCAGGTCGGTGCCATCCCTCTCAGGTCTGTGCCATACCCTCTTAGGTCGGTGCCATCCCTCTCAGGTCGGTGCCATACCCTCTCAGGTCGGTGCCATCCCCTCTCAGGTCGTGCCATCCCCTCTCAGGTCGGTGCCATCCCTCTCAGGTCGGTGCCATCCCCTCTCAGGTCGGTGCCATCCCTCTCAGGTCGGTGCCATCCCTCTCAGGTCGTGCCATACCCTCTTAGGTCGGTGCCATACCCTCTCAGGTCGGTGCCATCCCTCTCAGGTCGGTGCCATACCCTCTCAGGTCGGTGCCATCCCCTCTCAGGTCGGTGCCATCCCCTCTCAGGTCGGTGCCATCCCCTCTCAGGTCGGTGCCATCCCCTCAGGTCGGTGCCATCCCTCTCAGGTCGGTGCCATCCCTCTTAGGTCGTGCCATCCCCTCTCAGGTCGGTGCCATACCCTCTCAGGTCGGTGCCATCCCTCTCAGGTCGGTGCCATCCCCTCTCAGGTCGGTGCCATCCCCTCTCAGGTCGGTGCCATCCCCTCTCAGGTCGTGCCATCCCTCTCAGCTCGGTGCCATACCCTCTTAGGTCGGTGCCATCCCCTCTCAGGTCGGTGCCATCCCCTCTCAGGTCGGTGCCATCCCCTCTCAGGTCCGTGCCATACCCCTTCAGGTCGGTGCCATACCCTCCTTAGGTCGGTGCCATCCCCTCTCAGGTCGGTGCCATCCCCTCTCAGGTCCGTGCCATCCCCTCTCAGGTCGGTGCCATACCCTCTTAGGTCGGTGCCATCCCCTCTCAGGTCGGTGCCATACCCTCTTAGGTCGGTGCCATCCCCTCTCAGGTCGTGCCATCCCCTCTCAGGTCGGTGCCATCCCTCTCAGGTCGGTGCCATCCCCTCTCAGGTCGGTGCCATACCCTCTCAGGTCGGTGCCATCCCCTCTCAGGTCGGTGCCATCCCCTCTCAGGTCGGTGCCATCCCCTCTCAGGTCGGTGCCATACCCTCTCAGGTCGGTGCCATACCCTCTCAGGTCGGTGCCATCCCCTCTCAGGTCGGTGCCATCCCCTCTCAGGTCGGTGCCATCCCTCTCAGGTCGGTGCCATCCCCTCTCAGGTCGGTGCCATCCCCTCTCAGGTCGGTGCCATCCCTCTCAGGTCGGTGCCATCCCTCTCAGGTCGGTGCCATACCCTCTTAGGTCGGTGCCATCCCCTCTCAGGTCGGTGCCATCCCCTCTCAGGTCGGTGCCATCCCCTCTCAGCTCGGTGCCATACCCTCTTAGGTCGGTGCCATCCCCTCTCAGGTCGGTGCCATCCCCTCTCAGGTCGGTGCCATCCCCTCTCAGGTCGGTGCCATCCCTCTCAGGTCGGTGCCATACCCTCTTAGGTCGGTGCCATCCCCTCTCAGGTCGGTGCCATCCCCTCTCAGGTCGGTGCCATCCCCTCTCAGGTCGTGCCATCCCCTCTCAGCTCGGTGCCATACCCTCTTAGGTCGGTGCCATCCCCTCTCAGGTCGTGCCATCCCTCTCAGGTCGGTGCCATCCCTCTCAGGTCGGTGCCATCCCCTCTCAGGTCGGTGCCATACCCTCTTAGGTCGGTGCCATCCCTCTCAGGTCGGTGCCATCCCCTCTCAGGTCGGTGCCATCCCCTCTCAGGTCGGTGCCATCCCTCTCAGGTCGGTGCCATCCCCTCTCAGGTCGGTGCCATACCCTCTTAGGTCGGTGCCATCCCCTCTCAGGTCGGTGCCATCCCCTCTCAGGTCGGTGCCATCCCCTCTCAGGTCGTGCCATCCCTCTCAGGTCGGTGCCATACCCTCTTAGGTCGGTGCCATCCCCTCTCAGGTCGGTGCCATCCCCTCTCAGGTCGGTGCCATCCCCTCTCAGGTCTGTGCCATACCCTCTCAGGTCGGTGCCATCCCCTCTCAGGTCGGTGCCATACCCTCTTAGGTCGGTGCCATCCCCTCTCAGGTCTGTGCCATCCCCTCTCAGGTCGGTGCCATCCCTCTCAGGTCGGTGCCATCCCCTCTCAGGTCGGTGCCATCCCTCTCAGGTCGGTGCCATCCCCTCTCAGGTCGTGCCATCCCCTCTCAGGTCGGTGCCATCCCCTCTCAGGTCCGTGCCATACCCTCTCAGCTCGGTGCCATACCCTCTTAGGTCGGTGCCATCCCCTCTCAGGTCGGTGCCATCCCCTCTCAGGTCGGTGCCATCCCCTCTCAGGTCGGTGCCATACCCTCTCAGGTCGGTGCCATCCCCTCTCAGGTCGGTGCCATCCCCTCTCAGGTCGGTGCCATACCCTCTTAGGTCGGTGCCATCCCCTCTCAGGTCGGTGCCATACCCTCTCAGGTCGGTGCCATCCCCTCAGGTCCAGTGCCATCCCCTCTCAGGTCGGTGCCATACCCTCTTAGGTCCGTGCCATCCCCTCTCAGGTCGGTGCCATACCCTCTCAGTCGGTGCCATCCCCTCTCAGGTCGGTGCCATCCCCTCTCAGTCGGTGCCATACCCTCTCAGCTCGGTGCCATACCCTCTTAGGTCGGTGCCATCCCCTCTCAGGTCGGTGCCATCCCCTCTCAGGTCTGTGCCATACCCTCTCAGGTCGGTGCCATCCCCTCTCGGTCTGCCATCCCCTCTCAGGTCTGTGCCATCCCCTCTCAGGTCTGTGCCATCCCCTCTCAGGTCTGTGCCATCCCCTCTCAGGTCTGTGCCATCCCCTCAGGTCTGTTTCCCCGCACAACCCACGCACTTCCTTTTGGGTCGTATTGTCCCTCAGTGTGTAGCCGCATGCTCCCTGCACAGAGTCACACTCCCATGCTCCCTGCACAGAGTCACACTCCCATGCTCGCTGCACAGCGTCACGTTCCCATCCTCTTCAATTGTATGCACCCCTTTTCCCCACTCTTTCTCCTCTCCCCCCCCCCCACCAATTGCCTACCGTCCTCATCCTAATCCGTCCCATCTCGCATCGTCATCTGCCCACCATCCAGCTGGGGACATTCAGGACATCTTGACGGTGCCGGGAGCGCCGATCCAGCTCACAGTGCAGCAGTACCTGGACGTGTACCTGGGTTACCAGGAGGCCTGGGTTGGTTACGCCAGTCTTATCCTCCTCGGCTTCACGGCTCTCTTCTTTGTCGTCTTTGCAGTGGCGCTTAAAGTCATCAACTTCCAAAAACGCTAGAAATTCTTTCTAGGAGCTGCATGCCGAAAGTGTGTGAGAGGGGGAGGGGGGGGGCTTGTAGACAACCAGGCAAGGCATTGAACCCGTTTGTAGCAAACCGTGAGTTGATTGCATGGGATGTTATGCTCGAACAGTGCTAGCTTAGCTTGCACAAACCATGTGCTAGCTTACATCGATGCATTTAGGGGCTTGTAGAGGGCTAGACAACACAAGACAGCCCCGTTTAACAAGCAGGATCGCAAGTTAGTCCATGAAGTCGACAAGGTTGATATGTGTTGGAAATATCTCAAAAGACTTGAGCGTTTCTGAAGTGTAACACTACACTCGAGGAAGATCGCAACGGGTACGCGAGTCAACGGAGGTTACACGAGGGTCGGACAAAGAAACGCGAAGGGACTCGAAGGGTCGCAACTGGAGGTTGCGACTGACCGTTACAACAGCGCGGATGGTAACCGAAGCGACAATCGAGTCGCTGTGCGACTCGATAACCGCTCCTGCAACTGTATTCTACAACTGCTTTACTTTCCTATTTTCTATATATTGCTGTATGCTTGTTTCTTTAATGAATCACTTGTTCTCATATACTAGTACAAGGGTTCAACTACCTCAACTTCCACTGCACTACTCAAGTCTTTTATAACTGGGAATAGTCTCTGGAAAGATCCCAAGGGCTTTTCTCAGCCCAACATGGTATGAGAGCTGGTCAGAGACCAAACTCCCAGCAACTACGCTCTATCTACAATCTGCAATTCAACGACTTCATTGATTACAAGTCATGGACAGCAAGGGCAAGAAAACCTCTACGGGCTCACCCAGCGCCCAAGACATTCAACCCGGCAACTCTGGATTGCATACTTCAGGACTGCAAACTGAGACCGGCGCTGCTCAAGAAACAACAGGAAGAGCACCGGAAATGGTGACCCCATCACCCTCTTCAAGCGTGGATCCGAATCTTATGGAAAGGTTCTTCAGCTTCATGTCGCACTTCGACCAGCAGCAGCAGACAAGGACACCTGCGCATTCAACACAGAGCAACGGAGGAAACATGGGATTAGCGCCGATGAGCCTCGACAACTCATCGTTTGGACGACACAATCAAGCGCCTACCTTTGTGCCTTATCACTCTTCACCGGGGACATTCGAGTTCATGCCGCCCCGTGCCCAACCAACAGCAGCTGCATCACAACAGACACCAAACGAGATTTTGAGTCTCCAGGTGCAGTTTTCACACGTAATCAAGTTACAGACATCCTCACCATTCAACGGACTCGATTTCTTTACCTGGAGCTTTGAGTTTGAGCTGGTGATGGAGGCTGCGCACCTCTTGGGATACTTCAACGGGTCCCTGCCATTTCCAAGCAACGGCACTGCAAAGGAGCAAGAAATATTTACTTATCAGTCGCTGCTGGCGTACACAGTTCTCTTGCACAACCTGTCACCACAAGAACAGCAGAGCATCAGAACGTATCGGAGCTATGGAAACTCCGTGGAACTCGCATGGCATCTCCTCAAGTGTCTCTATCAAGCAAACGACAGCGTGACACAAAGCAGACTCATGCAACAGCTGACAACAATCCAGATGAAGACCGGGGAAAAAGCGATGCAGTATATGAGTCGATGTCAGACCCTCCGCGACCGCCTGCTTCGGTGCGGAGGAACAATCACTGAAGAAAGCTTCGTGACGCTTGTTCTCGCAGGGCTCGGGCCAGAATGGAGAACCACACGCTCGCTTCTTCGCGCCCACGGAAGGATCTCGGAGATGCACCTCTGCGCCGAGCTTCATGCTGAACAACAGGAGATGGACCTGTTCGAAGAAAGACAACCAAGAAAGCAGCAGCAGTTAGTTTTCTACACTCAACGAAGGAACGACAACAACTACAATCGACGCGGCAAACAAGATCAACGCGACAACAGAGGACTCACCTTCGTGCCGCCGTTTTGCCACAACTGTCAGACTTCCGGACATTCCAAAGTCAACTGCACACGTCCTCGTGTTTATCGTCCAGTAGACCCACAAGTCGCCTCCACTCAAGAAAGCCCTCCAAGGCGCTCTCCCACATCTGCACAAGGGACACCAAACATCATTAACTGCATGGTACACATCGACAACTGCGCACCCGGATCACCACCCACTTACGCGCCAGACGAAGAAGAATTCCCACCGCCGCGCTCCCAAGGACTTCAGGTCAACCCGACATACGCTGCGGTCGCCAACGCCGAACCAATCGGGCGAAACACCTGGTTCTTGGACAGCTGCTGCGGTCAACACATGTGTTCTTCCGGACGCTTCGTGCAACGAGAGCGACGCCTCAACCGCGACGTCATCATCACCGTCGCCAACAACGAGAACCTGAAAACAAACAGACAAGGAGTGGTTCAGTTACAATCCATGGAGAAATTGGCAAAGGCAAAATTCGATTACTGCACGCTGCTGACCGAGCAGACAAACGTCACCGGATCTGAACACGTCAGCACTCCAGAAACGAAGGGGAGTGTTGGAAATATCTCAAAAGACTTAAGCGTTTCTGAAGTGTAACACTACACTCGAGGAAGATCGCAACGGGTACGCGAGTCAACGGAGGTTACACGAGGGGATGGACAAAGAACGCGAAGGGACTCGAAGGGTCGCAACTGGAGGTTGCGACTGACCGTTACAACAGCGCGGATGGTAACCGAAGCGACAATCGAGTCGCTGTGCGACTCGATAACCGCTCCTGCAACTGTATTCTACAACTGCTTTACTTTCCTATTTTCTATATATTGCTGTATGCTTGTTTCTTTAATGAATCACTTGTTCTCATATACTAGTACAAGGGTTCAACTACCTCAACTTCCGCTGCACTACTCAAGTCTTTTACAACTGGGACTTAGTCTCTGGAAAGATCCCAAGGGCTTTTCTCAGCCCAACAATATGAAGTCCCAGAGGTATACATATATTTAAAGATGTCTAATTTAGTGAAAAAGTCTTGGATTCCAAACAACTTCTTCATATATATTTATACTATCGAATGTTATCATCAACTCTTGTCTTGCACCCAAATGTTAGAACACTAGAATAAATTAGAAGGAAGAGAGAACATGGGAGATATAGGGTTTGGGTTGTACTCTCTAAGAACACACACCTATTCTAGCCTATAACTTCTCCATGCAAATGAATGTATAAGCTTACACACCCCCTAGGCTAGATAAGGGGTAGTGCTGAGCAAGAAGCACCCAGCTCAAGGTGGCACTACTAGTCCAACCTTTGTGACAGGGGTCCAAAGACCATTCAGCAAGAGTACAAACAAGACAAGAGCAAACCAGGGCGGCACTAGTACTCCGGCCACTGTAAGAGAAGCCACAAGGCCAGTCTGAAAGATATATATAAAGAGGACTACACAATCAAGGTCCTAGCAAGTGAGAGTCTACAGGAACTAGACCAAGCTGCAAACAGTGCCGCTGATGATCTCTAGGTGCAAGCGCCTTAGTAAAGATATCAGCTATGTTGGCACCGGAGGCCAAGTGTACTACGCGGACCTGGCGACGCTGCTATAGCTCACGCAGGAGGAAGTACCGCAGCTGGATGTGCTTCGCTCTGCCCTCAAGTCGAGGCTCCTGACACAGGAGGATCATGGCCCTGTTGTCAGCGTACAAGACTGGGGCAGAACTAGGCCACTGACCTAAGTCGGTGAGCAAGAAGGTCAGCCAGCGGAGCTCCTATGCCGCCATGGCACCGGCTAGATCTCAGCCTCACAGCTAGACTGGGCAACAGACGACGAGCGAGTGGACCTCTACAAGATGGCACCCGAACCAAGGCTAAAGCAGTAGCCTTGGGAGGACCTGAGGGTCTCAGCGTCATCTGCCCAAGAAGCGTCTGTGTGCCCAGTAAGGACCACTGGCCTGCGTCCTTCCAGCACTAGCCCCATGCCCAATGTACTTGCTAGATAACGCAAAACCCTCTTAGCGGTCGACCAGTGCTGTGGTCGGTGTCTGCCTGTGGCCACAAAGCGAGCCATGATGCTGAGAGGGTATGCAAGATCTGGACGAGTGCAAGTCATCAGGTTGATGAGGCAACCCACCGGCTCTGCATAAGGATCACTGGGCTCCACTGACTACCCTAGAACTAGAGCAAAGAGCCTGTGATCTACTGGAAGAGGAGTGGGATGTGCGGAGGAGAACTCAAGACCGAACCTCTGAAGGACCTGGCGCACCAAGTGTGACTGTGTGAAAGTGATGGTGCGCGTTGCGCTGTCCATGAAGATCTGCAGGCCAAGGTAGCGGCACAGCTCTCCAAGGTCAGTGCAGGTGTGTCTCTTCAGCAACTCAGCCTTCACGGAGGCCAGTGCGTCTCTTTCTGCAGTAGCAAAGACCAGGTCATCTACGTAGACAAGGATGTAGAACGGAGTCTGGCCAGCACGAACGAAGAGCGAGGGGTCTGCAGAGGACGGAAGAACTGCAGGTCAGCTAGCGTAGCACGCAGCGTGTCGTGCCACTCACGGAGCGCCTGTCGCAGGCCGTAGACCAAGCACCGGAGGAGCCATTGGGTCCCAGGAGGGAAGGTACCGGTGAAGCCCTGTGCACGGCGCAGGTAGTCCTGCTCATGTAGACTGCCCTGAAGAAATGATGTGGAGAAGTCGAGCAAGTGTAGCTCGTAGTCATGCTTTGCTGCTACGTGTAGCTGTGCTCGAAGAGTAGTCATCTTCGGGGTCGGGGCAAAGGTCTAAAAGAAGTCCACCCCCAATCGCTGATTGAAGCTTCTAGCCACGTAGCGCTCCTTGAAAAGAGGCGGCTCTCCAGCGGGGCGCTTCACCTTGAAGAGCCACCGGCCATCGACTACGTTCACCCCAGGTGGGGGGACTGTGTCGACGTCGGTGCCAGTGGATCTTCAAGATGCCATCTCCTGCTCCATGGTAACTATCCACTGAGAGGCCCAGGGTCCCGAGGTCGCCTCAGCGTAAGTGCGAGGGGTTGGGATGTCAAAGGTGTCTGGGTTATCCTCAGGGACTAGCAGCATGGAACAGAGATGGGGAGCAGCCTCGGACAGGAAAGCAAGCTCGTACTACCGGTCCTCTAGGACGTCACTACCAAGGGCAAGAGCACCCTTCATGGACTGAGGACGGAAAGGGTCAGAGACCAGAGCGGTGGCGTAGTCAAGGCGGCGGGTAGAGGCAAAGTCAGCGACAGCGGCGACAAGAGCGTCAAGACTGGAGATAACAGACGGGTCAGTAACGAGGGAGGCAAGGACCCGAGGAACAAGAGGACGAGCAGCACGAAGGTAGTCAGACAGAGGGGAAGGCGCGACGGTGAGCAACGACG